GACATGGAATTGAGGACGGGTCAAATGAGGGAACAACTTCCCCCAATTTTCAATGTGTAATGTCAGCTCTGGAAGGGGAGAGGGGGACTTACTACTTTCCTCACGAATGTGCCTCAGTGGAATGGATTTGCATGGGACTTGCAAATGTTGCTATATCGTCTATTCCGTCTTTTGCATTTCGACCGTGCTCATGCCAGCCCAGCTTGCATGTGTATGTTTGATCAAGGATGTGTTCCTGCAACAGAAACCAACAAGAAGTATGAAGCTGATGCCATTGTTGCCTGTCAGGTGGAGTGCAACGCCGGGGAAGGCCTTCTGCACTTGGGATTTCAAAGTGACTATTTTCGGGTTTGTCTTACAAAAGGGTGGCCCCTGCAAAGGGTACCCTCAAGAAAGACAGGAAGTAGAAATAGAAACACCTCGATTGGCATTCTAGACGAGTGCATCGCCAATTCTGCTTAGGAAGCCAGCATTGCGGAGCACAGCTGAGATTGGCCAGTGTTGTGCCCGTGCTCTCAAAACAAGGAGAAGCCGAAGTTGGCGGTTTTCTTTGGTTTCCCCTCTAGACCTCGCAAAGGGTCGACTCCAAAGTAGATAAAGCCACATGCAAGGTCTACTGTCATGCGTGCGTTTTGTTTTGCCAACTGACTATTGACGTGCTCGAGCTAAACTTTTTGTGGGCTCTCGCGGCCAAGCAACAGAAATGAAATCCTTTGAGACCTTGACACTAGCAAGGTTATTGGGGTTGTTTTGTCCGTCCTTGATGCCCGTCCGCGAGGTTCCGGAGATGTGAAAGCCTCAGACGTGGGCCGCTTTTTTTGGTTCTGATGCCAGGACGTGAAGCCAACAAGACATGCGCCGGTGGTTGGTGGGGTGGTTTGGGGACACGGTGACTTGGCAGGATCTTTTTGTGGGATCCTCTAGTGTGTGTGTGTGTGTGTGCTTGGTAGATAGATTTTTCCCTCACCTGAATAGAACCAAGAGACGGCTGCTGGCCAGATGTTTTTTCACTTTCTTCTTTGCGATCAAATGAGTCAGGGCCAGGATCTGGTTGTTTCTGCTGCACTTTCACCGAATAAGCAACCTGCAAAGAATGATGATGTGGGTGTCATGTAGTTCCAACAGCCAACGTGCAACGCCTTGATCAGATTCTGAGGCGGCACCAATTTCAGATGCAATATGCATGCCGAGGTCGTGGGCGTAGTATGGGTGCCAAAGGCTCTGCGACCATCGCCTCACAGGACAGTCAGACAAACACTTGCCCCAGTCACTTTGCTCAGGCAAAGCTAGCGTTTACTACGCAGGCTTTCTGGTGGCTTTTTGTTTTCGACGGGGTGATGCCCATCCAGTAAGGCAAAAGCCTTCATTGAGATGCTTTGACATGGTCACCCGTCGGTATCAACACTCCGATAGACGCGTTGATAAGACTAAGGCTGAATGTTCAGGGACCCATGACCGCGGCCACACGCAAAAGGTGTCATGTGAGCCCATGTTGCAGAAGCCGGGTGTAGAACAGCCACCACCTCAATGAGCAATGCACTAGCTTGATCTTCGCCTTAGCCATGCTACTTCTGATGACTGACACGTTGGCTGGATGAGAGCCATCATGTACTGTAGCGCTCAGGCGAAAGCAACTTGCTCGTACCAGCTGATAAAATGCATCGTTTATGCGTTGAGCAGGCCAGTGATGTGAGCGGTGTTCTTGCTGATGACCCACATGCTGCGGGTGCACTGATTGGCGGTCTTCCAGCCTGAGGATCGTTTGACGTGTAGAGAAAGCTATTGTCTGGATTGATAAGAGACTGGTTTTGCCAAGAAAGCCATAAACTTCAGTGAAGCAATGCTCGTCACTGCCGTGGAATGTCATGAATGTAGCAGGTCTTGGAGAATAGTATGATGGGAACTTCACGCTGAACCGTTATGAGCTTGCAGGCAAGCGATGTTTTCTTCAAGTTCAAAAGCCAATAAATAAGATCCTCCTCGCGACTGTTTTCTCCAGCATCACAGGTCAAGTCGGGAATTTGGGTGCACGGGTTATCGCACTGCAATGCACGCTACCACCCCACCGCCCCCCTCCCAACCCCAGGCAATGGTTTCGTGGTGGCCCAAGCAACTCTGAAATCAGCGATTCATTCCAATATACGGGAGTCGTCCGAAAGGTCTTTGTATTTGATTTAGACATGAACGGTAAGACCTTTTGGTCTTAGTGTTGGCCTCCGAAAAGCTCAGTGGCGGATGTCGCGATTTCAGTTTTGTGCGTGTTTCCGCACAAGCTGTATGTAAGAGCAACCTCCAGCAGCAGCCCGCAGGAGGCGAAAGTCAAGTTGTTGTTCTGCGAAAGTGGCGTTTCTGGGAACAAGGAGTTTCAGACAACCGCCACATTATATATATATATACCTGGATACCCATCTGTTGTATTTTGTTCTGTCCATACGGGCTGGGATCCGGTCCTTTTGTATTTCCTAGGGCTGTTCTTTTTACTAGGGCTGGTTGGTTGGTTGGCTTGCCGCATCACCAGCATCACCAGCCTCACTTGCCCCGGGGGTTGGGTATCGACTAGGCAAAGAAGGGCTGGGAGGTTGGCTGAATTTGGGGTTGGCTTGGAGCTGATTTGTGTTAGGTGTACTGGTTAAGCGGTGCCTTTAGGGTTGGTTTAGGGATGTGGTTGGGTGAGCACAGGCACCGCTTAACCAGACCACCCAGCACAAATCAGCTCCAAGCCAACCCCAAATTCACCCAAAGTCAACCCTAAACCCTCCCAGCCCTTCTTTGCCTAAATCAATCCTAAACCACCCCAAGACCCACCCTCATGCCCAATCAGAGTCAATAACCACCCCTCGGGGCAAGTGAGGCTGGTGATGCTGGGGATGTTGCCAGCCCTAGGAAAAACCGAGGAAACAACAAAAAACAATCACCTCTACCGATACGGGCTGGGGCGAAACAACAAGCACAACGGTGTGATTTACTGTAATTATATACTTCTTGTCAATAACGTGTTGAGCAAATACGGGCCGCGTACATCCTAGAATCCAAATGCGGCCCACCGGCCATTAAAAGTGGCGAAAAGTACATGTCAAATACATGTTCTGTCCAAAACAGTGCCATACAGCTTTCCATATTACACGTGCATACATACATATATGTATATATATACATATGTATATAAAGCTACCTCTATGTGTTTCTATTTGGATTCATATGCGTAGCATCTAGAAAGCATTTGGTCCTGAGCCCGACAGCCAGGACTTCGAGAACTACGAACTGGACTCAGAATTTGTCAGCCCCGGCTTTGTGCAGTCAGCGTGAAGGAAAAAATGGGGGCGGGGGCATTGGGGGGGGGTTGTCCATTTCGAGGCTTTCGGCACCTGTCAAGGGCCAACGTGAGCCCAAGGTGCAAAACCGATTTGCTTGGAACTTGTGTTGAGACCCACCACAAACCCGAGAGACAGGAAGGGCCAGCAGACTTAGACAATGGCGAAGCAGACAATCTCCCCAGCACTGCCCAGAATAGCTCATTCGTGCGCCAGCGATATTACCCCACCACTGAGATGTCAGACATGCCGCGGGCTCACTCTCAGGAAGGCATGACCTTCCAGGGGCATTGTTTGCTAGGTCTCATGTGTTGAACAGGTAGATTTAGGGGTGATTAACTCCATCAAAGCAAACACCCTTTCACCCCGGATGGACTGATCCGCCCCAAGGTAGATTTAGACCTAGGCGTGACATATTGAACTTGTACAAAAGGGTAACCTTTGGGGAGAGCTTTTTGTTGGCTATGTGTTTTTTTTAGTATTCGGGTGGAGCTCGTCTTGTGCCCGGAGGCCCCGCGCAAGCAAACCTAGTGGCGGGTAGGATTGCGTAGGCATGAAACTTAGGCCATTCCAAACAGATCCTCCTGCTCAGGTCCGATAGGCGTGTCGCGCCATACAAAGTCCCAGAAGTCCTTGCAGAAATGTGCATGTAGGCGCATGTTCAAGAAGTAGGCTCGCATAGGTGCGTTCCACACCCGCGGAAGCATCCGCAGACGCATGCTTCCAGCGCATGGTTCAGTGTAAACAACTCTGCACCCTGGACTGTCACCCTAAGCTTGGCATTCTCCAAGTCGTCGGCTCCGAGGGACCGCCCTTGGCGGTTCGGAACGCCCTGCTGCAGGCGTGGCCGAATGTGCGTGCAAGAAGCGGTGCCAGAGCTTGGCACTTTCTGTTTTTGTTTGCTTGCTTGCTTGCTTGCTTGCTTGCTTGCTTGCTTGCTTGCTTGCTTGCTTTGGTGGCTCGTTTTTCTGTGTTTGGCTTGTTTAGGTTTGTTTGCGTCACTGCAATGTTCGTGCCCGGGAACGCGGCATGTATGATCTCCTGCATGGATCGCAATAGTTCTGATGCGACCGAAGTCCAAGTCCTGATGAAACCCTTAAGCACGAGAAAGGAGAGGTGGTGAGTAAGTCCTTCCTGCATCAAGTTCTCCCAAACAACCTTCTAGAAGTTTCTTTCGTCCACAATTGATATTCTGATAACGCCAGGCAAGAAAGGAGGGATGAAGGTCATTCGCTTGTATGGGAGCCTCTCTTGATTCGGGGGAGAGGAATAGAAAGGCAAGGTAGAGAAGGGTATTCAATAGAAAACAATATTGTGTTTGCTTGACATTATGTTTTTGTTTATATCATGTCATTCACCATATCTCCAACAATGTAATCATAAAGGCTTTAGGAATCTATTGTTCATGATTTGGATTCATCTTAGAATCTCTGGTACATCAACATCAGTCCTTATTTATGAAAATGGATCTGTCCTCCTGATTGATCTCTTCGGGAAATTGGAACATCTATAATATGAGCAGTACGTTGCATGGCTTTCTTATGATATTATTGTTAGTATTGCACCTGGCTGAATTGATTTTTCGTACCCATCTTTCAAGGGTCTCCGGAAGTGGTATACCCGGTATATCTCAGTGTCAATATGTGTTCTATCATAATTCGCTTACTTCCATATCTTTCTTCTCACGCAGGGAAGGAGAACACCTTCCGAGGTTTCGTGACCGAAGGCTTGCCTGATCCCTTGAGGAAGGCATCCCCGACCTTTGCCTTGCAGGTGTTGGGCATGGCAGTTGCCCCAGCTGACGGCGATAGGTTTGCAGATCCTTGATGTTGGCATCTTGGGGATCCCTCACGTAGGTGCTTCGCAGACGTAGGCCCCCTGGTGGTCGGTTTGCTCGTTCTTTCTTTCATTGGCAGGCAGCTACGTCGGCCTTTGGGACTCTTACAGTTCATACGACTTGACCGAGGCGAGGGAACAAAGAATGAACCACAGAGATTCCCCTCGGCGTAGAAACCAGAACTGCATTTATCTTGAAAAGGATTGCTCGGTGCCGTCCAAGCATGCAACTTGAAGGCTTCTCTCGGCACTTTGATGGGTGCGCTGACTCAAGTAGACCCCAGCGCCCGCATCGCAAAGCTTGTGCGACTTTCCAGCCAGCCTAGAATCAAAGCGGTCACCAATTCCCACTACCCTATCTATTATTGCTTGTGTTTCTTCCCGATTCTGGTAATAGCCGGCCAAATGTACTCTATCGAGCAATGACAATGACATGTGTGGCTTGCAAGTATCAGGTTGGTGAGCCATGACCAGTGTCTTGAGATGGGGCTATCAAGATACCGTGAGAGACTGTGATCCTTTTCAACTTGAACATATTCACCGGCTTCAGCTGTTTGAAGCAGCCAAGCATGGCCATTGATCTCAAAACCTTGCAAAGCAAATAGCACCCTCCGTGCAATGAGGCCCAAGGAGAACTGAATGGACATATATTCGGCCAGTTACCACCCCCAGGCTTAGGCTTGTTGGGGGTCGTTGCTCCTGGTATCATGCACATATTGACAATTACAATCCCAATGACTTATCGTTTTAGTGCGGTCAAGATTTACTCTTCCTGCGTACTACATCCTGAGTACTGCATCCTGAGCACTACATCCTGAAACTTATGGTTTTTGTTTGGCGCTGGCTGCGAGGGTGTTGAATTTTGCTTATTCTTCGCGATGCCGTTGCAATCAGAATCTCAGAAGCTTCGAGATGCCAACAACTACCGGGTTTAGCAGGCCATCCTACATTTGTGCAGCACGTGCAGACTAAGTCCAAATTGTTCTGCCTTTTCGAAGAAAACTGCTTCTTCAGGGAAGACCATCATATTTTCCGCCTTGGGGCCATTTTCCTGAAAAATGTCATTTTGGCTGTATGCAACAAACTGGCGGAGGCGCTTTTTCCCCCGAAACAACGGCGTTTCGCCTCGATACAAAACCTTTTTTTGCCTCGACTGAAATTTCTGTAGTTTCGGCAAACAGCCGAAATTCTCCACTGCTGGACGTTTTAGGAATGCCTCGTGTATGCCCGCACTAAACCCAAATTAGTTCGTTGTCACTGCAGACAGCAACATTAGGTTCAGCGGCCTTACTTTGGGCAGATCCTGCGGGTCGGCAGACACGAGCCTGTGCCCAAGTCCGGAAGGGACAGTCGCTCAGTCCCTGCCCTGTGATTTGTTGTTGTTTGTAATTGTAACGTGACGCGGAGCGACGCTGAAGATGCTGGCCAGTGAATGCATGGAGAATGAAGCCAGATCAATGTGCTTGTTCACTTGACTTGGATGACCTCGAACAGAAACTTAATGAGCATGTTCGCCTGTTGGTGGCACCTCTGCAAGCTTCAATGCCTTGGACAGGTTCGGCAATCGGCGCTGGGATGTGGCTTCCTTTGCTTCCAGTGTAATATGATTTGGGATCCTAGGGATTGAACAGACACGCCCGCTAATCAATCAAGCCACATCTTAAAGTGCATCTTGAGTCAGAAGATAGTGCCTCACCAACAACCTGCTGCTACAAAGCCTGCAAATAGCTTTCTTCGAATGGGATATGCAATTCGCGAAAAGGGCGGGGGCTGGGGGCCCCAGAAAGGACTTTCTCTCACAACATCGACACACCACACACGCCCAGAACTTTGACTGGGCTGACATCTCAGGTTGCTCCTGGTGGCAAAAGTTTCCGCCGTGCCCCGGTCAGTTTGGCTGTAGGTGCCAATGCGCTTTTGGTAGCTTCCCAAGTGGGGCGAACGCAGGCAGACACAGAGATAGTTGGCGACCTTTCCCCGAACAGATTTGTTGTTTAGGCCTTCCATTCTGATATGTGCAGGTCCAATCTTCGCCAAGAGCATGCAACGGCATATGTGGCTGCCAGTCCAGAAGACGTCACTCTGAGTGTGAAGAAAGGAAAGAGTCGGAAACAGGTCGAACTATTGGACGTACGAAGATTCACCGTTATTTTGTTCCTCTAAGGATGAGCATGATTTAAGCAGGCCATGTTTGGATGCAGGGACCCCAGATTTTGTAACGTCCCATGCAAGGAGAGTGCCCCTGGTTTGAGTCAGATCAAGACATCCAATCAATTAGTAGGCACTCCCTCGTACTGACTAACAGGTGAAACAAAGCTAACCGATTTTTTGGCCCAACTTGAGAGACGGGTCATGTGCTACAGAATAGCCAAGCATCAATATTGCTTATGTTTTTTCTATTTACTGTAGCACAAGACAACGTATCCTTGTGGAATGAGAAGGTCACGTTAACTTAAGCTTGGGCCTTGCGCTTCAGCATGCTGGCGGTAGCGGCATTGCTGGTGGTTGCCGGCGCATCGCCAGTTTGGCCCTATGAGGCGGGAGGTTTGGAGTTCAGCAGCCAAGCCTTGATCCAAGAAAGAGCTCACCGAGCTGTTGAACGAGAGCGCTGAAGATGGATATTAGTTTTCTAACGGCTTCCTTCCGGAGATGTCGAGCTTTTGTTGTCACTACCGACACATTTCCTTCTTGTGCAGTTCAGTTTGAGTTGTCCACAACCTTTCGGCGGGTCTATCCTGATTGCTTGTGCCGGTCCGCCAGATCAAGATGTGGACAGTGCGGGAAGTATTGCGTGCAGATCCTTTGTACTGTCAGAAGGTCTCCGACAGTTTAGTTTTCTATCCAGGGCTGAACAAAGGATTGCAGTACAGCGATGAAACCCGCTGCAGGCAAGGTTTCATCAAACAACTGGATGTACATTAAAAACAACAGAATATAACAGAATCCTTATTGGCTATTGGCTCAGAAGCCCTATACTGTCTCATTAGTTGCTGATTGTGGCTTGTTGTGTCGGGCTCTTATGAACCCCCCATGAAGGAACACCAGCTGATTGATGATCGTATTGGATAGGTTGTTCAGTTGATAGGAACACACACACACAAGCTCAATGAATCCAGCGCCTCGTGTTAAAGGGGTTGATGTGGGGATAGATACATGTGTCCAGGCTTGCCTGACAAGAGATGCCTTGATGGGCCTACGGTGTACTAATCACTCCCGAGACAACGGTTCTGCACCCTCGGGTCCATGCAAGTGTCAACATACACAAATAACAAGTGACAGACCGATTGATATATTGATTAGATAGGATTAGTTTTGAATGGATTAGATTAGATTGATAGGTAGATAGGCAGATGGATGCATAGATAGACAACGTCATGAACGCGAACCGTATATTACTCCAGCAAAAATCCAAGTCCGTGAATACTAAATTTGGAATAGGCCAATTCTAAACCAATACTAAACTACCTAATTCGAGCCGTAGTACGGGTCCCCCCCAATCCTTTCCTTCCAGAAGCCCAAAACAACAGAACCCGAAACCGTAAAAAAAAGGAGGGTGAACCATATAAATCCTGTAGTTAAACATGCGTTTAAAAATGAAGGGGAAGGGATTACATGACAAATCATCACTCTATTTCACAGTAAAGACATCTCTGGGAGCCAGCGCCAGGCATGTCACCGAGACACGTGAGAGTCTTTATTTCGAGGTTCATTGGCGAGGGCATCATCAACATGTTTGGAGCCAACACTGATCTCATAGGAATGGGAGGTTCAATGAGCCTTGACCACAATTGTGTTATGCTATGCCTCAGGCGGCCTAGGGCAATGCTTCAACGTAAACCGTTTGCATGATAGCTTTTCCTGTTTCGTTGGAACTGGACCACCACAAGTAAGGGGTTCTTCAATTTCTGTTTCTCAGGGGTCCCTGGATTGCCCGTTTTGGAGGCTCTGCACATCACTTTTAGTTTCAGATGGGGGATCATGTTCAAGGGGGCACCCTGGTCCCCTTTTCGTTGGACGGGGAACCACTACATTGGGGTACCTTCATTTCAGAGTGACGACTCACCGCTCTGTTCTATATGAGCCAACGGTTGAATCCCCCGTCCCCCATGCCCGACCGCTTGCATGACTCGCTCAGGAGTCCACGGCCCGCGCCTTTGCGAGCCTTACCCAAGCCTCCTACTGCGGCGCCGACGCGCGCCTCATGAACTGGACCTGCAGGCTGGCTTAGGGGCCGGAAAGCGGCGGGGAAGCATGGGCCTTTTGAAATCAAGCTTCATAGCGGCACAAGGCCATGGTTCAATTAACCACATTCGAGCCTAAGGAAGTAAAACAACACAGCTTTTCGGACTTTTGTATATGATTTTGCTGAAAACAGTTCATTTTGGCTATGCCCACTATGCCCAGCTAGCTGATCAGTGTCATACATAATGCTTGTTTTGCGACTCGCGCGAGACTGCGCAAGGGACGCATCCGGTTGCGGTAAGTCGAGGAGGGCTTTTTTCCAGTGACTGGCGCCGTCCAAAGCGCGGGGAAATTGGCCGAGACCTGCGTGGGGGTTTTCCTCAGCCCAGGATCTCGGTGGCTTTGCCATGAGCAATACCCATCCCCACTCGGGAATGTCGCTGCATGTCGCTGCCTTTTGTCATTTTTTTTTCGGAGTTGCAGGAATGTGATGGGGTTGCAGTTGTTTGTTTTGCGGCTTTTTGTGAACTGCTTCTTGAGGAATTGGGAGTGTGGTCTTGCTCTTATCGAAAAATATGTCAACTTAGTTTGGCATGTTCGGAGCCAGCCAAAGGAAACCTAGTCCAATTCTAAGCGAGAGTTAAGCTGTACTTGCTGTACTGGCAGACTACTTGAGCAGGCCCAACTCTATCCCACTTTGTATTTAGATTTCTCTCCGTCGCCTCCCCCAGTTCGTTTTGCGGCCATTTACAAAAGTCACTCCCCCACACAACTCAGCTATCATCAAATCTAATTTTTCTGTTCAGCTGTTCTTCACACCTCCTGGACCCCCACCGGACCCCCGCAGGACCCCTCAGCACCTCCCAGCACCCTCGGGGACACCCCACAACCTTCCCAAGGACTCCCCACAAACCTGCAAGGACCTAAGGACACCTGGAAACCCTCCACCAGACCCCCCGCCACCTTCCGCCCATTTCCGCCCATTCGTCATGTCACCTAAGGCCCTGCGAAGCTGCGGGCTTCCACCTGGTGCCCGGCTCCCTGCGCTTCGTGCAGCGCAGGGAGCTGGAGCAGCCCAACTCCACCTTCGTGCTGCTGGCGCCATCCCCAGTCGGATCGGATCGGATCCGATTCGGAGAGAGATGCGGGAGGTCAAGGACTGGGCGTCCTTTCAGGGTTTCCAATCTTTTGAAACCCTAAAATGATGGGCAACCTCAAACAAGAACACACACACACACACATAAACGCGTAGTTTGCTAGGGTGGGCTGAAGGTGAAAAAAGGAATATGATGGTCTTCTTGGTGTACCTAGTTGGGCCGATAGAATAGCAGGTGTTGCTTTTGTGGGCCCTGTGTGTTTTCTTCGTGCTTCCGTGGACCAGCCGAAAGTTGCAGGGTGTGGGCCAAAGCACACGGCGACGCAGCGCAAAAGAGAGGGGGAGCTAGGTCCTAAGCTCGTACTGCAAAAACATTGTGTTTCGGCTTTGCAAGGGCCAACGGCTTTCCCTATCACCCCTCTATGTATCAAAAAAATGCATGGAGAGCGATACGATTACACGATACGTCCTGCATAGCATGAAGCCCGGAAAACAATCGCAGGCTCGCTAAACGTGAAATGACACATATTTTGAAAGCAACAGTGACCGTAGCTCACATCAAGGCACCATCACAGTGTGACCTTTGCTCAAAATGCAAGTTTGATCTGTTATCCAGACACCTCTTTTCATGACCTGGTATGTCCTCCCCTAGGTGACAAAGGTGGGTATTGGATGGGAATCAACCAGTTGAGTATCAGATGGGAGCAGTTTGTCTACAATCATGGCCTTCTGCGATGATTCACATGGGAATAAACCTAGGTCTTCCGTGGGCACTTTTTAAAATTTTTCTGGGTTTTTCCGTTTCGAGCAAAAATACACTCATTTCATCCAAAAACGCTCAAATAGAAAGAACACGCTCAATTGGAAAATGGCTCTGGTGTGTGTCCGCAAATTTCCGCTTATTTCCCGCCGATTTTTGCTCATTTCCCGCCGATTTCCGCTCATTTTCCGTGAGAGAACTTGCCAGATTATGCCAAATCAAGGTTTCCGCCAATTTTTTGTTTTTCCGCTCAAAATCTGAAACGAGCAAAACAAATGCCCAGGG